TTGTTGATCCATTCTCAGGCCAAGGTTTGAGAAAAGAAAAAAAAAAAGTTAGCCTTAGGTGAAACCAATTTGACAAAAGGCAGATTCCAAAGCAAATACACAGTTTCGTTAACATAGCTTAAGAAAAACATTTCTATAAGAAAAATGCATTGGATAGCTCAAGGTTTGAGGAATGTTAAGTTCAGGCAGAACCAGGTATTGTCAAGACAAAACTAAAAGAAGCTGCTTTAATTTTTTGTAGAGAAGAGGGAAACATCTGACACTTGGAGTGTACTTCCTCCGGTGCTTGGGGACATCTGGCCTTCCTGCCTGTGAAGGTAGGTCACTCATTGGTCTGACTCTGTACAGCCAATCCCAATCCTACCTATGGGTCTGTCTGCAGAACTGTAAGTTTCAACACCAAAGCTCAGCGCACACCAGCAAGTATGTCCCAAGGTGGGCTGTGCAATGATCTCTCAGTGCTCCTTTGTGTTGGTCTCTCTTTACCCTGTCGGAACCGCAGCCCAGCTCCCAGACTCTCCCCTCAAGACTCTGGAGCTCTCTGTCTGTCCAAAATGACCCCCACCAGCCAGTGAAGGGGGTACCCAGGTGAGGGAACATTTCCTCCTTCACAGCTCCTTCCCATTCAGCTCCCTCGCCTTCTCCCTTTTTCCTTCATCCTTTTTCCTTCTCCCTTTTTCCTGGTTATATTATGGTCTGTCCTGCAGCTTCTGTGGTATGATCTCTTCTGTCGTCTTTCTGTCTGTGCTCTGAGAATTGTTCTACATGTACATGTACTTTTTGTTGTATGTGTGGGATGAGGTGAGCTCACAACCCTCTACACCACCATCGTGATCTCTTCCCATCTCTCCTGGTTTCTCATTATAAAACATGGGACAGAGAGAAATGACTTAAAGACATAGTAAAAATGAAAACAGAAGCAGAATCTGAAAAAAGACTCAGCCTATCAACGTTCCACTGAAGAAGGTTTGCTTGGGAGAGATCATAACAAGTTTGTCCAAATTGGACAAGCAGTTGAGCATCAGTGGCAACCCACTCCAGTATTCTTGCCTGGAAAATCCCATGGACGGAGAAGCCTGGTAGGCTACAGTCCATGGGGTCGCAAAGAGTCGGACACGACTGAGCGACTTCACTTTCACTTTCACTTTGTCCAACTTGACAGATCCAAGGATCTCTTTACCTAGAGAACATGAGACGAAGACAGGACCTAATTTCCACCATGATAGATAACTGACCCTGAGGGCCTTTGGGAGACTTAGGGGACTGTTCCTGTCCTCACAGGTCAGGGTGTGTGAGCCTGCAATGCAAAATGATGTCACGGGGGAGGGTCCCAGCTGACCAGCTTCACCCGAGAGGAAAGACCCTGAACCTGTTGTCCTCAGCTGCATCCCTTCTGTAGACCTAGGACTTGCCAGACTTTAGAGCTGGAGGAATTAAATTCCCATTGTTCCCACTGTTACTCAGGTAGTGGTCTTTTGTTTTAGAACCATAAGCAGACCCTATAACAGACCTTTGGTGGTTTCATAGAGTGTCATTGACTTTCCATTTTCTCAGCTTTTCACTTGTTTCATGGATGGATCAGATGAGTTCTGAGCTTCTTAACGTGATCCACCAGAAACTAGAACTCTTCATGTCATATCAGAATAAAGGTTTTATTTCTTTTCTTCATATTACTGGAGCTCTGTTTATCTTATCCATAGCTTTCAAGGGAATGCTTTCGTCATTCACATTTAAAGATGACATTCTTAATAGTCTTGATTAATTAAATCTTGTCTTTAACTTTCATCTGACTTTTCTCATATTTAAGTGAATTGACTTTAGACTTTTTAAAATCCAGTCACATGAACTTATCTGATTAGTATTTCCAGACGCTACAGGCACAAAACGGAATTTCTCTACCAGGACTTGACACCTAAGTTAGTTACAGTTTCAACCTCTACCAGGAGTGGACTCTTCACCCTGGTGAGCACTCATCTGTAATAAGTCTGATACACTCCTGCTGTCCCTGACCTGAAGGGACATTGCATGAGTGATGCACCTTTGCTAGTAACTTCCTTGACCACCTCCCCATTTGCTTATATGACCACCTTCTCATTTGGTTTCATTCTGGACATCTCATTGCAGATTCTCTCTGTCTCCTAGATGGACACACTCTGATTTATAAATCATGAAGCAAATAAAATATTTGATAAGTATTCAGGAGAATTTTGGAGAAGGCAATGGCAACCCACTCTAGTACTCTCACCTGGAAAATCCCATGGATGGAGGAGCCTGGTAGCCCACAGTCCATGGGGTTGCAAAGAGTCTGACATGACTGAGCGATTTCACTTTCACTTTTCTCTTTCATGCATTAGAGAAGGAAATGGCACCCCACTCTGGTGTTCTTGCCTGGAGAATCCCAGGGATGGAGGAGCCTGGTGGGCTGCTGTCTATGGGGTTACTCAGAGTCGGACACAACTGAAGAGACTTAGCAGCAGCAGCAGCAGTAGAATTTTTAACATTCGATAATATTGTGTTGTAACATGTATTTTGAAATGAACTTTAATTCTCAGATCCATAGCATTTTCTTAAGATACATCCATCTCACTCTATCAGACAAACTATTCAAGGTGACCTGAGCCAACTCCGGGAGTATATCAACCCTGGGACCACTTGTCCTCTCAAGAAGGGGAGGAGTGCCGGACATCACAGACCTTGGGCCACAATGGCTCTGACCCACCAAGCTTGCTTCTCCAAATCCCCTGTTTCTGCATCATCAGCTGCTTCTGTTGCTGAAGAAAGTACCCATCCAATGACCTCCGTGATCCTGCCTTGGGATCTCTTGACTGTGTCCTCTGAGACTGGAGAGGTCCTGGGACTGCATGGCTAATGTGACCCTTCCTGCAAATCCAGAGTCCGTTTGGTGCTTGAATTATGTGAGCATCAGCCGTGAATGTAACCGTCTTCATTAAAACTTAAATCTAGAAAAGTGGTACTGAAGAATTTATTTACAGGACAGCAGTGGAGAAACAGATGTAGAGAATAGGTTTATGGACATGGGGAGGGGGAGGAGAGGGTGATGTATGGAACAATTAACATGGAAACTTACATCACCGTATGTAAAATAGACAGCCAACGGGAATTTGCTCTATGGCTCATGAAACTCAAACAGGGGCTCTGTATCAATCCTGAGGGGTGGGATGGGGTGGGAGATGGGAGGGAGTTTCAAAAGGGAATGGTTATACGTATATCTATGTCTGATTCATATCAAGGTTTTGACAGAAAACAACAAAGTTCTGTAAAGTAATTATCCTTCATTAAAAACAAACAAACAAAACAAAACAAAAAAACTTAAACCTTCTCGCTGTGGCATCTTGAGGGTTCCTGATGCTGGGAGAACATGCAAACCCAACCTGCATGCTGTCTCATCTCTGCTTTAATTATGTTAGTTTTTTTTTTTCTATTTATCAACCCAAGTCACACATTCAGGCCTTGCGTTCATAGAGGCAATGCTACTTATGTGCCAGATGGGGGAGAAGATAAACCTGGGGCTATTTTTGCAACTATCAGTCACTGTGTGTGTGTCTGTTGACAGTGCACGTTCAGTGGGCTTTGGATCCCCATGACACTGTGTGGCTACTCCGCGATGGGAGGGTGAACCAGAAGACCCTGAAAGAGAGAGGAAGCGCCTCTGAAGCCCCCTCCGTCTCTGGCCTCGCCATGGGTGTAGCAGACTCTCTCAGTGTGTGTGGCAGCTTCAGGGAAGCAGCTCGCTGGTTGTTTCATAAAGTTCTTGCTTGCCGTCTCCGTGCAGCACATGCAGGTTTAGAAAGGACAGTTTGCTCTTTCTAGACATGATATCAGAATCATATGGGGTACTAGAAATGTTGAAGTCAGAGAAAAGCTACTAATTCCCAGCGAGAAGGTCGCTGAGAATTCCCTCTGAGAGGTCGGTGTCTTTTAGTCCAGGCCGGACCGTCCACTGTAGGACTGGGACCTGCCTGCAGGGGGCGCTCACGACCCACCCAGCTCAGGAGCAGGTGCAGAGGGAGCGGAGGCGGAGTTTCCTCTCAGGTTCAGGGTCATTCTTTTGTGAATGAACCTAAATAGAAGCTGGCAAGTCCTGTGATGGTGCCCTGAAGCATCCTGGTCTATTTGGAGACTTGACTTAACTCACGGCAGCGGAAATCACAGTTCGGAGGAGGTTCCTTAGCGCTTCTTCATTTTGAGAACAGCCTGCTTTCGTGCATTCAGTGAGAACATTTTGGGAACACGGTCACCCCAGGACTAATACACTTAAACACCAAAGTTCAGAATGCAAGTTCTGGGGTCTCTGTGTCGTTCACAGGCTGCTTCATGATGAGGGCCGTGTCCTGCGGGGCCGGTGCTCGTGCCCGAGCTCTGTGAGCACAGACGTCAGGGACGTGGCGGGAGATCACAGCCGCCAACACGGACGCGGACACGGACCCCCGCCTCCCAGACTTGTGCCGCTCTGTGCCACCCATGGTCTTCCCAGCCGAGGCGTCTTCTGAAGTAAATACCCTACTTCACGCACGTGCAGATGAGACGAGCTGGACTGGGATAAATATGCAGAGGTCTGTGCTCTGAGAACACCACCTACAACCACACCGCCTCCTCTACAGATGCCCGGGGGCGCAGCCCTCAGCACGGACTCGAGCTGGGGAATCCCCTTCCTGCGGACAGTGGCGATCGGTCAGAGGGTCCCCAGTGCCTGGGTTGAGGAGGGAAGTAGCGACAGTCCCGGGAATCCCATCCACGTCTGTCCCCGGTCCAGGGTGTGCACTCCCGGGTGCAGATGGTGCGGTCGGGGCTGAGCCGAGGAAGCCCGGGGCATCAGTGAAGGTGTCCTGCACGGCTTCTGGATCCACCTTCAGTGACTACGACACGCACTGGGTGTGACTGGCCCCTCAGCACGGGCTTGAGTGGATGGACGGATTGACAGCAAAGATGGCGGACAAAGAATGCACAGAAGTTCCAGGGCAGAGTCACGCTGGCTGCAGACACCTTCACAAACACCGCCTACGTGGAGCTGAGCAGTCTGAGGTCTGAGGACACGGCTGTTTACTACTGTGCAGGACACCAACTGTGAAAACTCAAGCCTGAGGGTGTCAGAAACCCTGAGCAGCAGGGCAGCTGTGCTGGGAGAGCAGAGGAGAGAAACGATGGTTCTCCTGACTTCTTGTCACCAAGAGTCTAGAATCTGAGAGCAGAAGTAATGCTCTTGTGGGACATGTGTTTTGAAGAGCGTTCTCAAGATAACAAATATATGAAAACAAGATGTAAGATAAAGATTTCCCTCCAGAGGCTTATGGGTTTTATTACTTTTTCAGCAGTAGTATTGAGTTCTTGGGAATGTTAGGTGAGGCATTATCTGGGATTATTTGGTTAAGGTCAAGTTTAGGATTCTTTTTCTGTAGAGTCTCCTGGCCAGTTCTCTGACTTGCTCCTTATTTTTAAAAGTGGCATCGTGCTTGGGTGAAACCCAAGGATGAATTTCGATCTCCCAGTCTCTGCCAAGGAGCCCACATTTGGCACCTGGCGGGACAGCCATGAGCAGGGCTACCGAGTCCGGGCCGACAGGCGCACAGTCCGGCTCCGTCTGCGGCAGCACGTGGTTCCGTCTGGCCCCTCCTGCAGGGCTGAGGTCCTGAGGAACCTCCTCCTGGGGACGATGGCCTGCAGCGCCCGGTCCCCAGGAGCAGTGCTTGTGGTCGCCACGTAAGAGGGCGCCATGTGGGAGACACTGGGTGACGGGAGACTCATGTGCTAGTGCGTATTACTCTGCTGACCCTTGTGTCAAGTTCCTACACATGCAGGGCTCCAGTCGGCACACACGCATTCCCTTTCACTCTGCAGGTCAGAGTCTGAAATCAGTTTCACTGGATTGGAATCCAGGTGTGGCAGGAACACACACACCTCAGTCTCTCGGGGAGTGCTGTGGTCTGAATGCTTCTGTGGCCCCAGAATTCATGTTTGGAATTCCTGCACACCTAGGATAATGATGTTAGAATCAGGGTCTTTGTCCAGTGCTTAGGCCATGGGTCTCCATAATGGGGTTGGTTGGAAAGAAACCAGAGAGAATATGTTTGCCCCCTCTGCCTGGTGGGGACCCAGAAGGAAGGTGCCTGGTGTGAACCAGGAAGGGGGCCCTCAGCAGAAGGCAGCCTCACTGGTGTCTTGACCTGGGGCTTCAAGCCTCTCGGATTGCAGGAAATAAAGGCTTGTTTACAGACCACCCACCTGAGCTCCTGTATGCCCTCTGAAAGGATAAAGTCAGGGACAATCTGCTTCTTTGCCGTGTCCAGTCTAGAGCTGCACTTTCCGCATGGGAGTTTGGTCCTGTATTGGACCAGAATCTGGTGGTTTGGAGTCGATGATGAGAGAATGAACAAAGGAAAAAGGCTAATATTCCCTGGGTTATGCAGCTGGCTTTCGCGTTCCAGGGAATCAGCCAGAAATAGAGAGAGAGAGAGAGAGAGAGAAATAAAGAAAGACAGACAAAGAGACATGGGGACCCCAGCTCTGATGGAGCAAAGGTGTTTTAATCAACATGGTGTGGGCATATATATTGTCTTACAAGGTAGTTATTCTCAGCAAAGATAAAGATTAAAATTCCAGACTTACAAAACATAAGGCAATCCATATTAAAGAGAGACAGTTGTAAACAATCACTTTTACTGTAAGGTTCATAAGAAGAGGGTACTTATCACCATATTGAAAAACAACGAAGGAAATGCCTGGATTCCTCAGCCCCAGGAAAGGCTTGTCCCACTCTTAATTCCTCAATATTCAGTAATTAGTAAGGAACAGAGGACTCCTGAGAGATCCAAAACAGCACACAGGAAGCCTCCTGTTAAATGCCTCTTGACAGATGTTGAACCGTGACCCTCAAGTAAAAGACAATATATGATGGTGTAGGATCCTTTCTATACATTGTTGAATTTAATTTCCTAATACTTTGTTGAGAATTTTTGCATTTAAATTCCTCAAAGGTATGTTTTCTAGAATTCCCAAGAGAAATTGTCTGTTCCTGGACTGTTCCTGGAACTTTCTGAAATTATGATTATAAAATTCAATTTAGACACAAATGATCAGTCTTTTCAAGTTGTCTGGTCCATCTTGACTCAGTTTTGAAGGTTTTGCAGTTTACGAATTTGTCCATTTCTTCTAGGTTGTCCAATTTGCTGGCACACAACTGTTTGTAATAATTCCACGTGACTTTTTTGGATCTCTGTGTTATTAGTTGTCTAATACTATGTCTCCTCATCTATTTCTCATTTTATTCCAGTGCTTTCTTTCTTCTCCTTGGTGAACCTGGGTAAAGATTTATGATATTGTTTGTCTTTGCAAAAAATCCCAACAAACCAGTTTTTGGTTTCACTTATCCTTTTCATTGTTTGTTGTGTGTGTATGTCTATATTCATCTCAATATTACTGATTTCTTCTCTGGTTTTTGTTCTTTCCTTCCTTCTACTGTCGCTGGGCTTTCTTTGATCTCCTTTTCTCTAATTCCTTTAGGGAGTAAGTTAGGTTGTTTACTTCCAGTTTCTTCAGGAAGACCTGTATTGTTATCAAATTTCCTCTTAGAACTGTTGTGCTACCATAGATTTTAGAGGTGAAATTGTCTTTATATGCAGAATACATAACAGTATAGATGGAAAACCCTAAAGACTCCACACAAAACTACTAGACGACATTATCCAGAAAGCCCTGAACTCAACAGGTCAGAGTGGGTACCAGCATTTGATTGCTCACGGCTTAGGAGTTGTTGGGGATTCTCGGGGGATTCCGGTTCTAATGCCATAAACTAAACCCCATAATAGACCAACTGGCAGTGGATT